TTTATCTGAAATAAAAAGCTTTTGTAACATTATACACTCTAGCATTCAAAAGCTTGGAATCAGTATAATTTTTTGGGGGGGAAATAAATTATAGAAATTAATGGTTTTATTTAGCAAGGATGCTTTAAATTGATCAAAAGTGATGATAAAGACATTTATAAAGTTACAAAAGAGCGGCTGCATGTTTAGCACTATTAGACTGCTGTCACTTTAAGACCTACGTCTAATATACAGGCGCGCATCCGTTTCTCTCAACTACTTCCACTTTAGACTTAACCAACTGAGTTTATATGTAAACCTTGTGTGTTTTTGACAGTATTAGTGCAATCAGAGGCGAAAGATAACTCAGTCCAGTAATCAGCCGCTGTTTGACAGGTTTTTTAGCCAAGTTAACCCTCTAAAGCCTGACATGAAATAATAGTATAGTCTCAGTATTTTGATTTTTTTGCAACCTCAGATTCCAGATTTTCAAATAGTTGTATCTCAGCCAAATATTGTCCTATCCTAACAAACCTTACATCAATGGAAAGCTTATTTATTCAGCTTTCAGCTGATGTATGTATCTCAATTTCAGAATTGATCCTTATGACTGGTTTTGTGCTCCAGGGTCACAAATATGATGTAGTAGTTTTATAGGGTTAAAGCTGTGTAAATGAGCTGCTGTTCTTGTAATCTCTGGATCTGCGTGTCTGTTTCAGATGACGGGATCAGTCCGGACCGGATCGCTCAGGTCATGGGTCAGCCGGACCGGTGTCAGCACGCGGTTCACCTCATCAATGATCTGGTCCAAACGGCACAGGTGCGGCTGGAGCGTCGTCCTACACTGATGCAGAGTCCATTAGAATGCAGTTACATGAGCCTCAAATTCAAGATATGAGCGCAAAAAATCTGATATCACACCAGCTAGAGTGCTGCTTTCCCCCAATATCTGCACCATTACTAATGTGATTTTGATTTAATGGTTCAATAAGCAAGAAGTTAATATTGTGTTACATTTTAGACCCAGTTTTGTTTGTTTTGATCAGTTTCACACATGAAATAGTTCCATTCAAAGCCACAGCAGAACTGCTGAGCGTCTGCTTGTCTGGTGTTCAGGAGCGCGATGGGTTCGGAGGCCCGGTTGGACCCAGAGGTCGCGGCAGAGGTCGCGGGGATTGGAGCATGGGATCTCCTGGAGGCCTGCAGGAAGTGACCTACACAATACCAGCTGATAAGTGCGGCCTCGTGATCGGGAAAGGTTAGGACTTCCTCTGCATTCAGCTTTTATTAAAGCAACTCTATAAGGAACGTCGCAAACAGTTGTTCATATCAAAAGCAGGTCCTGCAATGCCACATTTCACGAGTAAGAGTACAGAAGGCGTTTCATTTATTTAACAAAACGATGGATTGCAATGACAATCATTTAACAGATTTCATTTAGAGTCAGTTTTTGAGTTGGTGGAAGTGCAGTTAACTTGCCTTAAAGCTCAAAAGATGCATGTTTTTTTTCAAAATGTCACTGTGTATGAAATGACCCTAATAAGTGCTCACTCTGTAGGGAGCTTTTGAGCTCTTTATTGCCCTACAATGGGGTGAAACATCTTCTGGGTGGTCTGAAAACCTTTTCTCTTGGTGTTTAAGAGCACAGCACTTCCCTAAAACTAAAACCATAACCAAAAAACAATTACATTAACTAAAATAAAGTATAAAAAAAAAACTTTTAGCTAGTTTCCCATTTCTAACATTAAATAAAACAGCTAGAATTAAAATGAAAACATTAAAATCAAATCAAATATATAAAAAATGTTGCCTTGGCAACTAGCTGAAATAAATTAAAAATAAAATACAAGTTTAAGTTTTATGTTTGATTTAAATTTTAGTTGAAGTTTCAGTAATTTTTATTTATTTTTATTCATTTTTATTTTACCATTATAGCAGGTGTTATGCACTTGTAACTCGTTATTTTATTTTTAATTTTATGAATTTATTTATTCATTTTAGCTATACCTTGTGTCCATAATTTTTGGTTGTGCTTTTGTTTGGTTTTTTAAATTTTGTTTGTTTATTTTATTTATTTTTAATCCGCCTATATTGTTTTATTAAGTTTTAGTTTATTTAGTAACTTAAACAGCCTTGGTAACTAACTTAAAATAAGTTAAAGTTGAAGTACTAACTAATAAAAACTTTTTTTTTAAAAACTAAAATTAATAAAATTGACAAAAACACACAACAATATTACTAAAACTTTAACAAAAATTAAAATGAAAACAGAAAATATAAAAATAAAATATTTGATTGATTTTAATGATTCAAAATATCTGCAAAACTACTAAACACTGGTTATACAGGGACTGTTGGATTCAACGAAATTAGTTATATTTAGTCTAGTATTTAGGCTGTATTTTGGTGTAGTAAAAATTATTATTATTATTTTTTTTTAAACGGTTCATGATTTTTTTTATTTTATTTTTTTTCGTGGAATTGGGCATTTTATTTTTAGTCATTCATTTATGCAATACAAAACAAATACAAATTAATTTAAGTTATAGAGATACTTCATCACTAATGGCTTATGAATGCAGTGCCTTTGGGTTTGTTTATAAATGCATGTCATTTTAATGTGCACATGTAATTTATCAGTCATCAGATCACCTCCAGATTCGTTTTGCATGAATTATTCGTTGGTATTGAGCAGATTCGTGGTTCTCGGACTCGACAGGCCTCGGTGTGAGACACACATCTCATTGTTAGACGCTCTTTTCAGTGCGAGTTAAAGACCACCAGTGGCAGCGTCTCACGGCTTTAACCAGCATCCTTTAACTAAACCGGTCCGTCCGTGAACTCGGCTCTTTATCTGCGCCTCTGTCTGACGCCGGAGCTCATAATGGCTTCATTAATGCAGCGGGTAAATTAGTTTGACAGTAGAGTAATGGCCCGGCGCGGGAGGAGTGCGTCTAGATGAGCCGGGGTCAAACAGATGTTCAGACATGACTGTGTTTACCAGGCTGTTCTGTGTTTGCACTGCAGCCCGAGAGCTGATGGTTTAACCATTCAGTCTGTCAATTGTGACGGAATTTATTTATTTATTTAATGTATAATTTTATTTTTTTAACCAATCATTTTTTGTCCAATCCAAGACTTTATTGCTATTAATTTATTTAATGTATAATTTTATTTTTTTAACCAATCATTTTGTGAGCTGATACTATGCACCTGTGTTTTATTAAAAAATGTTTTTATGGTTGTACGTAATATTTCTGGGTTTTTTTTATTTTTATATGTTTGTTCGTTTATTTATTGATGAATTGATTTATTTTATTTTTATTTTGTTTAATTTTGTTTGTCGCACACATTTCTAACAGGTTTTTATTTATTTTTTATTTATTTATTTTTATTTTATTTATTATTTTTATTTTGATTTTATACTTAAATAATTGTGGACTTTATTGCTATTTATTGAGCAGATACTATGCACCTGTATTTTATTTAAAATTTTATTAAAATCGTGCAGCCCTGAAATTAAATTATATTCCAGTTGTAAGTGTGCTTCTGATTACAGATAGCCTGGGATTACAAAGATTTGTATTTGAAAGAAAACCAGTTTGAAGGGAGCATAATTTGCTTTTTGGGTTAAAAGAATTTCTT